GGCTGTGGCCGCGCCTGACGGATTCTCTCTCTATTCGTCGTATAAGACGCACCAACTTTTACCCCCCAGTTTTGGGGAAGAAAAAGTGCGTCTTATACGGCGAAAAATACGGTAAGCCTTATTATAAAAATTTAAATATAATTCAAGCGCTTACTATGGTGAATCCAAAATATAAATAAAATAAATAAATAAGTATATAAATATCTGATATAAAATGCTGTAGCCGCTAGTGCACACAACCCATGTCTCAGTAGGCTAACTAGTGAAATAATGTCAATGTAAAAAAAGTGCTGCTCTACATAATCAAAAAGTGCACAATCCCTATACAATATAACTATATTTTTGGTTTAGTTATATTCTATAGGGATTGTGCATTTTTTTATTATGTAGCGCAACACTTTTTTACATTGACATTATCAAGCCTTATTATAACCTTACCTGTTGAAAAAAAGTTAAAAGTTAAAAAAACAAGTTAAAAAAAAAAAAAAGGAGTTTCCTACCACTTTAACCGAAAGGCCTCTAATACTTCTCCCTTACAATGTTTCCAGAATGTTTTATCTTTCTTTCTTGCTTTTTCCCCGTGATATGTATGGTGTTTTAAGACACAGAGAAGTTTGTCATGGATGAAGAGAAATAATATGCATGAAAATTTGAGACAATTAAAACTAATGGGCTTGTCATGTTTTATAATTCATTAATTATGTAAATATATGTGTACTTAATGATTAAATATAATCATTTATCATATTCACGATCATTATAATCATTCATTTATTGAAGACAAAAGCATACAAGTAGACAAGTAGAGCCAATGTGTTTTGGGGGAATTGCCTCTCTCTTCTTGAGGGCTTTAAATCTTGGAGAATGGTAAGCCTCTAAGAAGGTAAGTAAATTCAATCAGCAGTTCTGCAACATTTTGGTGTGTTGAGGAGGCAGTTTATATGGCACTCCAGTGCCAAAACTACCCTGTGTTATGTTTATTCTGTCACTTTCTGCTGCCTCATTTTCTGTGTATATACAGTATTATGAAACATATTTAATCTAAATAAAAGACCTATAGTATACTGCATGATAATATTTTGTATGCATTTATGCATTTTTTAAATATGTATACATATTTTTTTCTAATTACATTTTAACCACTTGCTACTGGGCCAATTCTGACATTTCTCTCCTGCATGTAAAAATTATCTTTTTTTTTTGTTGCTAAAACCCCCAAATATTATTAACCTCTTGCCGTCCGCCTGCTGTTGATAAACGGCAGGGCAGTGGCACTCCAGGGGCGGGTTGCCGTTCATAAACGGCACCTGCCTTTTCTAGCTGTGCGTGCTCCCTGGGAGCGCGCAGCACTGCGATCCGGTGCCTGCTGTGTCCTCCGGACACAGTGAAACACCGATCGTCAGACGGGACCTCTGTACGAGGTCCCGATCATGTGATCACTGATTGGCGAATCAGTGATCACATGCAAAGTAGTAAGCAAGATGTCACTTGTGACATCATTGCTTACTATGTGTGAAATCTGTGAATGATCACAGAGGTCACATGGTACAAGGCTATTCGCAACAGCCTTGTACCATGTGACAAGCTGTGACCAATCACAGCTCACTCAGTACTTCTCAATGACTGCAAGAATGCAGACAGAGAGAAAGAGAAATGATTGCTTTTACATCCTATATGGGTGTAAAAGCAATCAGTGTAAAAAAAAAAAAAAATCTTCATCACCCCCCACAAGTAGTACAGTGTCACCATGGTGACACTGTACTGCTAGGGTGACAGTATGTAAAAAAAAATAAAAATAAAAAATAATAATATAAAAAAAAATAAAATAAAAATGTAAAAAAAAATGTTTAAAAATTATAATTTTTGGTTATAAACTAATTTGGATTTTTTTTTTTTACTAAAAAAATAACGGAATAAATTTTGGCCAAGAATGAAATATTATTTATTTGCAAAATTTTATTTAAAAACAATTTTTTTTCAAAATTTTTGGACTTTTTCATTTACATAGTAAAAAAAATAAAATATCCCAGCGGTGAATAAATACCACCAAAATAAAGCTTTATCTGTCTCAAAAAAATGTTAAACAATTCATATGGGTACAGTATTGCATGACCGCGCAATTGTCATTCAAAGTGTGATAGCGCTGAAAGCTGAAAATTGCCCTGGAGAGGAAGGGGGTAAAAGTGTCCGGACAGGAAGTGGTTAAGCAAAAGCCCTAGAGAACAAAATGACAGGTGTTGCAATTTTTTATGTCACAGTAGTTGTGCAGCGGTTTTTCAAACACAATTAAAAAAAAAAAAAAGATACCAAAACACATCCCGCTTTAAAATTGCACCAGCTCATGGAATGGCAAACTACAGTTCTTTAAATGACCCATTGTTACATATTAAAAGCCTTTACAGGTCACTAGTTTAGAGTTATACAGGAGGCCGGGTGCTAGAATTATTGTTCCCGCTCTGACTCTTATGGTGATACTTCATATGTGTGGTGCAATCACTGTTTACTTATGTGTGCGGGATCATGCGCGAGCATGGGGGGATGGGGGCGCTTTTTTTTTTTTTAATATACACTATATTGCCAAAAGTATTGGGACGCCTGCTTTTACACGCACATGAACTTTATTCTTAGTCTTAGTCCGTAGGGTTCAATATTGAGTTGGCCCCGCCCTTTACAGCTATAACAGCTTCAACTCTTCTGGGAAGCCTGTCCACAAGGTTTAGGAGTGTGTCTATGGGAAGGTTTGACTATTCTTCCAGAAGCACATTTGTGATGTCGGACAAGAAGGCCTGGCTAGCAGTCTCCTTTCTAATTCATCCCAAAGGTGTTCAATTGGGTTGAAGTCAGGACTTGAGGCTAGTCAAGTTCCTCCACCCGAAACTCACTCATCCATGTCTTTATGGACCTTGCTTTGTGCACTGGTGTGCAGTCGTGTTGGAACAGGAAGGGGCCATCACCAAACTGTTCCCACAAAGTTGGGAGCATGATATTGCCCAAAATGTCTTGGTATGCTGACGCCTTAAGAGTTCCCTTCACTGGAACTAAGGGACCAAGCCCAACCCCTGAAAAACAACCCCACACCATAATCCCCCCTCCACCAAACTTTACACTTCACACAATGCAGTCAGGCAAGTACCATTCTCCCGGCAACTGCCAAACCCAGACACATCCATCAGATTGCCAGACAGAGAAATGTGATTTGTCACTCCAGAGAACATGTCTCCGCTGCTCTAGAGTCCAGTGGTGGCGTGCTTTACACCACTTCATCCGACGCTTTGCATTGCACTTGGTGATGTAAGCCTTGGATGTAGCCTGTCAGCCATGGGAACCCATTTCATGAAGCTCTCTATGCACTGTTGTGCCAATCTGAAGGCCACACGAAGTTTGGAGGTCTTTAGCTATTGACTCTGCCGACAGTTGGTGACTTCTGCGCACTGTGCGCTTCAGCATGTGCTGACCCCACTCTGTCATTTAACGTGGCCTACCACTTTGTGGCTAAGTTGCTGTTCTTCCCAGTTGCTTCCACTTTGTTATAATACCACTAACAGTTGACCGTGGAATATTTAGTAACAGGGAAATTTCACGATGGACTTAATGCACAGGTGGCAAGCTATCACGGTACCACGCTTGAATTCACTGAGCTCCTGAGAGCGACCCATTCTTTCACAAATGTTTGTAGAAGCAGTCTGCATGCCTAGGTGCTTGATTTTATACACCTGTGGCCATGGAGGTGATTGGAACACCTGAATACAATGATTTGGAGGGCTGGCCCAATACTTTTGGCAATATAGTATATTATTTTATTTATTTATTTTATTTTTACACTGTTTAAATTTTTTTATCACTTTTATTGCTGTCACAAGGAATGTAAACATCCCTTGTGACAGCAGTAGGCATTGACAGATATTCTTTATGGAGAGATGGGGGGTCTGTTAGACCTCCCAACTCTCCTTTGGCCTTCAAAGCATTTGATAAGACACAGATCGGACTGATACGCTACTTCACTGGCCGGTAACCGTCCAGTAAACAAATGGCCAATTCTTGAAGTGACTAAATCGTCATCACTTCTGGTTTCTGATGTCACACATTGGGAGGAACAAATTCATCAAAATGTATCAAAATGGGAGCAGTCAGAATCTGGAGCAGCTCTGCATGGCAACCAATCAGATGGAGATAGATGTTTGGTAACTATGTATAGCTGCTCCAGTTTTGATAAATTTCCTTCATCGAGTTTTTAAGGACTTCATTGAATCGCTTTGATTAGAGTCAACACACAAAAAACCTAACATGCAGGACTCTTCTTCCAATGCTCCACAGTGCTACTCATTGGTTGGTTTTTGATTACAACACTTTTTTATCTCCATGCATTGTGCTTCCACTGGAAAACAGAGAAAAACGCACAACACATCTGGGGAGAAGGAACCCCAAAATGCAACCCAGGAGCTTCCTGTAATAAGCCCTGGTTCACACTACTGTGGACCTTATGGTCCGCATTTGCTCGGGCATGGCAGTCCATTCATTGTTTCTGCGATGGGCTGCTGTGCCCATGTTTCTGCACAAAAAAGGTGTATGCACCTTTTTAAAAACGGAGCCTCGGGGAAACCGCATGGTCTTTTTGACCATGCGTTTTTCCTGCTGTTCCCGCTTCCGCAATCGCACTGCAGGCTGAGATGCATAGGGGTGCCATTCAGAAAGAATGCAAGCCCGCACGTCTCCTAAGAGCACGATTTGGCTGTGGGTGGTTGTGGGTGTGGGAACCAATGTGATTCCGGCACCCGCAACCAGAACGCAAAGTGTGAAATGAACCTAAGAAACGGTCACTGCTGCTCTCTTTCCTTGTGCAGGGTGATGATGTAAACACTACTTTTACAAGGTAATATCTGTACTTGCAAAGACATTTGGTGCGCACAAAGTCTAATTTTAAGCCATCTCTTTATATATTAATTTTTATTGTAATGATTGCTATGTGATCACTGCTATGCTATAGTATTCATGTGTTTTTATTGCAGAGTGAAGCAATTTCATGTAGCAGGACAGAGTATGAGAAAGATGGCAGATGCTGTTCACTGTGCAGGCCAGGTAGGAATCTGTCAAAATAATTTTGGTTATCTCAGAATATGCAACTGTGTTTTGTATCTAGGGATGCACCGATACCAGTTTTTTCAGAGTGAGTATGAGTACCGATAATTTAGTATCTGCTGATACCAATTTATTTTATTTATTACAGGTACTTATATAGCGCCATCAATTTACGCAGCGCTTTATATATGTATTGTACATTTACATCAGTCCCTAACCTCAAGGGGCGTACAATCTAAGGTCCCTAACTCACATTCATACACATACTAGGGCCAGTGGTGTATTTAGGTTTTGTGCTGCCCTAAGCAACACAAAAATCATACCCCCCTCCGCGGAAAGAGCCTGACAGTGACCGAGAGCACCCCTGCCCCATCCCCCCCCACCTGTGAGAGCCTTCCACTAACATTCACCCCCCCACGGCGACAATGAGAAGGACCAGGGGCCGACTGACCATTTGAAAACTCGGGCGCTGCCCGAGGGCCTGGGGTCAGTAGGGGGCCCCATGAGATGCCCCTGGTACCTTTTTCATAGGCTTTTTTTTGAGTTTGGGCAAGGACACAGGGGCCCCATGATCCCCTATTGCCCGGTGGCCCCATGAGTTGTCAGTCCACCCTTGAGAAGGACACTCACCTTCACAGCTCTGGACATCCTTGGAAATGACAGTTGAGCTCTGCATACACCAAGCAGCCCACAGCCTCTCTTGGATCCCACCTGGTCCCCATGCTGCATATGTCCCTTCTTCCAGGGGGCAGTGCTGCCCCCCTAAAAAATGCCGCCCTAGGCAAATGCCTTGTTTGCCTTGTGTTAAATACACCCCTGACTAGGGCCAATTTAGGCAGGATCCGATTAGCCTACCAGCATATCTTTGAAGAGTGGGAGGAAACTGGAGTACCTGGAGGAAACCCATGCAGGCACAGGTAGAACATGCAAATTCCAGGCAGGTGGTGCTGTGGCTGGGATTCGAACCAATGGCCCTAGTACTGCCAAGTGGAAGTGCTAACCATTTAGCCACTGTGCTCCCACTATACCAATTACCTATACCTATTTTTATCGTGCAATGTGGTGTGATTTGAACCCATACAAAATGAATAGGCTAAAAGTGCACTGCAAAGAATCGCATGTGATTTGAACAGGAATGCAATGTAATTCCTTGTCTGAATCACATGCGGTTTTCCGCACTGCTCTTGCGTGAAGCCAGGCTGAAGAAACTATGACAAGCATGGGTTCACACAGGAGCGGTGGGGAAACCACATGTGATTCAGACAGCAATTACACTGCATTCCTGTTCAAATCACATGCAATTTTTGCAGTGCGATTTGAGCCCATTCATTTTGTATGGGCTCAAATCACACCGCACCACACGAAAAAGGTATTGTTTTAGGTATAGGAGCGTTTGCACAAGTACAAGTACTCGTGGAAATGCTTAGAATCAGCACCGATACCGGTTTTGGTGCAACCCTATCTAAAATTTATACATTTTTCAAGATGATCCATTGTGCAGCCTATCTGTTTGCCACACAATTCAGGTAAAGTGGACCTTCACTCCCTTTTTCAGCTTTAAATAATATTGCTCCCCCCTTCTAGAAATTGCTGTTCTATATTTTTTTTTGGGGGGGGGAGGTGGATACTTTTTTGCCTTTCTCACCTAGAGGAGAATGGCATCCCCAGCTGCCTAGGATGCACGTAACATATTCCAAGGGGGTATTTTTCAGCAATCTAAAACTAACAGCACAAGTGTCGCCGTGCATCTTCAGGGATCAGCTGCAAAAAATCTGTAAGAGACATCTGTCTCCTGATGACATAAAAAAAGATGGTGGTGATGTGATGCCTTTGGTGGGTTACAGCTGGACAATGCTGGATTCGCTGCATGCATGGGTATGTGTTTTGAGGATAACCCAAGAAACAAGGTAAATGGGGAGAAAAATAAAAATAACACAAGGGGGGTGTGAAGTCCCTTTTGCAGCTTTAGAGGAACCTGGTTATTTTGAATATCTGCAGGAAGGAAATAACCAACAGCAATTTAGAAACTTAGTGTTCATTGGGTTGTGTCTTCTATAGAACCAAGCAGGTTGCAATTTCTTTGGAAATACATTAAAAGATGTAGGCTTCTGCTACTTCACTACCAAAGCTTGACATCTCAAAGTTTATTACATATTATTTAAAAAGAATATTTTATTATTTTTTCTAGTTTGTTTCAGGTTTTGAATAGAAGATCTTTGAATGGCATTGAATGACATTTTGCATTTGTAGTCTATCCAAAATATTTTACAATCTTGTGGGACAGAAATGGCATTAATATTTTAGCAGATTTATATATATATATATATATATATATATATATATATATATATATATTCGAAGAAAAAGAATGTTGCACAACCAAATGGCAATCCACACAATTAACCTATTCAAAGACCATAAGCTGCAAATCATTATCATTGTGATACTTTACAGTAAAATATCTGGAAAGAGATCTGGTTGCTTCTGGCATATCGAGAACTTGTGTGGGGTCACTTGGTCTTTGATCTTTGTGTAGTTTCTCCCACAAATATTAAACCACAAAAGCAAGTGAGAGAACAAACCACAACTGATAATTGACAAGTACAGTGATTCTTGATGCTGTATTGGTTCCCTGTAGAGGGACGTGTGAATACATTCCCTTTCAGCATTAAAATACACTGGGTACAGCTCACACAAGTAAATGAGCTATAACATTTGGATTGTAAAATAAAGTTTGGCCTTGGTTATTTCTCAACAGCATACTCAATTGCCTACTGGGCACTTTCATCGCCTTCCTGCCCAGGCCACGACAGAAACAAAATTGTTATCATTTTTTTGAGACAGATAGAGCTTTGCTGGTATTTAATCACTGCTGGGATTTTTATTTTTTGCTAAACAAATAAAGAAAGACTGAAATTAAAAAAAAAAAAAGTTTTCCTTAGTTTCTGTTATAAAATTTTTTAAATAAGTAGTTTTTCTCCTTCACTGATGTGCTACGATAGGTGGCACTGATGGGCACTGACAGGTATCACTAATGGGCACTGACAGGCATCACTGATGGGCACTGAAAAGCAGCACTAATGGGCACTAATAGGCTGGCACGGATAGGCGGCACTGACTGGCACTGATTGGCACTGACAGGTGGTAATGGTTGGCACTGATAGGTGGCACTGATAGGCATCACTGATGGGCTTTGAAAGGCGGCACTGATAGATGGTACTGATGGGCACTGATATGTGGCACTGATGGCCACTGATAGGCAGCAATGATGGTTACTGAAAGGCAACACTAATTGGCACTGATGGGGATGCACTGACAATCAGGGCACTGATGATCAGTGCCCTGATTATCAGTGTATATGTCCCCTCTGAGGACTGCCGCTTATTGGCTCTCCTCTTCTTAAGCGTTGTCAGCGTGAGGAGAGGACTGCCGGTACCCCGCATTCCCTGTTTAGATGAGATCAGCTGTGATTGGACACAGCTGATCATATGGTAAAGAGCCTACATCATCAGCTCTTTACCGCGATCAGTTATCCGCTGTGTCCGAGGGAAACAACGCACCACTAATCACTGTCTTGCGCGCCCCCGAGGGCACGGTTAGAGTGGGAGGAAGTTACACGACATGCTTCCAGAACAAGAGAGCTCCCACCCGTCCATCATTTCCCAATACACAGTATTACATTTAATAAGCAGTATTAAATACCCAAAACATCTAAGAATTGGTAAGAAGCAATATAATACATTTTTGGTTTTGGGTTTATCACCTCTGGGGTCTGATCTTACCAACTGCCTTCTCTTAGACTGTGGTCGCCTAAATTGCTTGGTAAGATCAGATCTTAAGAGGTTGAGAAGTAACCAGTGGCAGACTTTTTTGGGATCCAAACATAATGGCTCATTTTTTTTTTAATCCATATTAAAAAAAATGGGATTTATTTAAAATGAATGGTTGCTAAGATCCCAAAATACAATGAATTAGCACTTTGCCTGATACACTTACAACCAGAGAACAGCTAGAGATTAACTGCAGGGGATATAAAGAGTAACTGCCATTCCATAAGGTCAGTGACCACCCTTCATCAGGCCTCTATTTACTGGCTGCTTTCTTGAGAGAATAAAGCTGCACTTCAATGGCCTTTTTTATGCCTTTTATTGTTTCTGTATCTCCTATTTGACCCTCTAAAGGTTTATTAGGCAAACTATATAACAGTGGGCATGTGAATTATACTCAAACATAGCAATACATTTATACTTTTAATTTATTTTAATTAAAAAAAAATTAAAAATGTAAATTAATTTTCAGTAATTTTTATCAGTCTGTTAAAGGATTGTTTTATCTGATACTTATAAACTGTACTTACTGCTTTGTGGAATTCTTTAGGAATTCATGGCAAACACTCCCGCGTTTTTCCACGTTTGCGGTTTTTAGCGTTTTTTTTTTTTTTTTTATTTTTACCAAAAGAAATTTTTTTTTGGTAAAAAAAAAAGTCCAAAAATGCCGGTTTGCAGTGTTTTACCGCGTTTTACTGCATTTTGCCACGTTTTTTCAGCATTACAGCGTTTTTCCAGCTATAAAAACTCCTCTAGAAACCCACTAGTCCTGTTTTTTTTTCCAGCCAAAAAACATTGATTACAGTCCATGTGTACATGGACACATAGGATAACATGCTGGGAGGTTTACTTGCTGTAGAAAAAAACGTCAAAACTCAAAATCAGCAGCTGTAAAAACGTTGCGTGTGCATGAGAACTCAATCCTATGTAATTGTTCACATCACTGCACTGCAGGTGTGCTGCATTTAAAAAGTCCTGCATACTGCTTCTTTGATGCCCTGTTTCAAAAACGCATCAAAAATGCACCTTTCATTGTATGTCAATGGAAATGCATCAAAATTGCACCGCAGTTGCATTTGAGTCACGTGTCCAGGGGCGGACTGACCATTTGGAAACTCGGGCACTGCCCGAGGGCCCAGGGTCAGTAGGGGGCCCCATGAGATGCCCCTGGTACCTTTTTCATAGGCTTTTTTGAGTTTGGGCAAGGACACAGGGGCCCCATGATCCCCTATTGCCCGGGGGCCCCATAAGTTGTCCACCCCTGCGACGTGTCCATGTTTCATAGGTACATGCTGGGAGTCAAGCAACCAAAAACACAGCAAATTGCATTAAAACTGCATCAAAAACACATTAAGGCTAGGTTCACACCTAGGCAGGTTGCGTTTGACCCGTTTCTGCGTTTCGTTTTGGCACCTGTGTTTTTGCTGCATTTTGCGTTTTTTTTTTTTTACATTTTTTTACATTTTTTATTGTTGCTAGGCTGATTTAAAATGCCAAACGCATCAAAAACACAGCAAAAATGCAGTACATGCTTTTCTGCAGCATTTCCATTGAAGTCTATAGAACTAAAAACTAAACTTTTTGTGTTCATAAAAGTTCCTGACCCTTTCCAAAAAAATGCACCAGGTGAAAACACGCAGATGTGAACCTGTCCCATAGGAAATCATGTTAAATGGACTGTACTGCGTTTCTGGAAAATGCTGCAGAAAACGCTTAGGTGTGAATCTAGGGTAAAATGCGATATGTGTTTTTCCAAAAATCATACTGCATTTTTAAGTGCACCAGTGTATATGGGTACTTACAGTACATCTAAAGCCCAATTGGTTTCTAGTTTTAGATTTTGGTTAGAGCCCCTTTCAGGTTTTCATTGGTGTCTGCGTCCCTGCTGGGAAGATTTACTTTCTCTGTTTGCTGAGTATTGTCATTGGGACTTAAGTGATGGGATCCAAAGCTTATAGAGGTCACAGGAAAAAGAGTTGAGGAATACTTCTTCTGGTGACAGTAAAGTGGTCAGCTGTGAAAACATAGGGGGCCTCAAGTGCAGCCCCTGACAGGTTCAGAGTACCATGTAATAGCTTAGATTTTCTAAAGTACATCACATCTTAAAGGTTCCAGGAAAAATACAAATATAAAACACATAAAAACATATAAAAATATGTGCAATGTAGCAATAAGGACCTATGCACATTTTGTGTGTTATAATATAGCTCATTCGCACCAACAGTTGGGGGGCAGTAAAACAGTTCAACCAACCTTTTACCATCCCTCAGGAAATACCCCCTTTAGCTGGCAAATGCAGCAGCTGGGGGTGTGCACAAGCCATGGAATTTTAACACCTGCCGATTTCATCAAGTCAATGGGGCTGCACTGCAAGAACCTAACAACCACATGCAATGCACGAGGTTGCAGCATGCTAGTGTGGGGTTCAAGGGGTTAAAGCAGTTGGTGAAGAGGCAATACAATGCCTCCTCATCACCTATCAAATACTCTCTGAAGAGCAATCGGAATGCAGATTACTCTTCAGAGATCAAAGCACATGTGAGCAAGCCCTAAATCACATGATTCTTTTTGAATGGCAGCTCCCAACAATGATGGAAAACACTACCCCATGCAGTGCACAACAACACTCAGCCCGGAGTTGCATTAAAAATTAAAAATACAAGCCATGGTCACCTAATATTGTGCTATGCAGCAATGCCAGCCCATTCAAAATGAACGTCTGCATAAACCCAGCATGCTTTAATGCATGGTATCGCATTATGTTAACACTCATCTGGTAATGCAACACAAAGGAATCTATTCAGAAAACATTCATTAGACAAATTCACGCACATTCGTGCACACTGCACAAATTTAATTTCTGTAATAGATTATTTCCTATGGTTTTTGGCTCCATATGGTGGCCAAAATGCAGTATACTTTCATTCAGGCATTACAGAAAACTATAGCACACTTTGACCCTTAGATGGAGCTCACGATCATAAGAATCAATCTATTACAGAAATTATGGTCAAACCTCATACAGCTTGCATGACTGTGTTTTCAGGTACTTATATAGCACCGTCAATTTACGCAGCGCTTTACATACATATACATTGTATATTCACATCAGTCCTAACCCTTAAGGGGTGTACAATCTAAGGTCCCTAACTCACATTCATACATACACATACTAGGGCCAATTTTTTAGACAGGAGCCAATTAACCTACCAGCATGTCTTTGAGGTGTGGGAGGAAACTGGAGTACCTGGAGGACACCCATGCAGTCACAGGAGAGAACATGCAAACTCCAGGCAGGTGGTGCCATGGCTGGGATTTGAACCAATGACCCTAGTACTGCAAGGCAGAAGTGCTAATCATTTAGCCACTGTGTGTTTTTATAAATAGACCACATAATGTGAATGGACCATTAGATAAAGTCAGGTTAGGTTTGTGTGCACTTCAGCATAATATTGCACTTGTTTACTCAAATGTTTGATGCTTATGAAGTAAGCACACATGCATCAGACAGAACACTCAGCATAATTGTTGGAACCTGATTAATGAGATATTTTTTTAAATATTGTGTTACTAAACCGAGGACCCTGCATTCACTATATCTGGTCTCCCCGGACCCTGCATTCACTACATCTGGTCTCCCCGGACCCGCATTCACTACATCTGGTCTCCCCGGACCCCGCATTCACTATATCTGGTCAACCCGGACCCTGCATTCACTATATCTGGTCAACCCGGACCCTGCATTCACTATATCTGGTCAACCCGGACCCTGCATTCACTATATCTGGTCTCCCCGGACCCTGCATTCACTACATCTGGTCTCCCAGGACCCTGCATTCACTATATCTGGTCTCCCCGGACCCTGCATTCACTATATCTGGTCTCCCAGGACCCTGCATTCACTATATCTGGTCTCCCAGGACCCTGCATTCACTATATCTGGTCTCCCCGGACCCTGCATTCACTATATCTGGTCTCCCCGGACCCCGCATTCACTATATCTGGTCTCCCGGACCCTGCATTCACTATATCTGGTCTCCCAGGACCCTGCATTCACTATATCTGGTCTCCCCAGGACCCTGCATTCACTATATCTGGTCTCCCCGGACCCTGCATTCACTATATCTGGTCTCCCCGGACCCTGCATTCACTATATCTGGTCTCCCCGGACCCTTCATTCACTATATCTGGTTTCCCACAGTACACAGAACATGGAAATGCAATTATTTTATTAAGTATAAACTGCTAAATACCTTTTCTCATTAGCAGTATATAGCAGTCTTGTGACTTCTATCAGTGTCCGGCTCAGCACTGGTTAATCTTGTAGAAGTCTTCATTCTCCTCATGCTGTCCATTGAGGCTGCATGACCCTGACCCTCTGTCTGGAAAGTGCTGATTGGCCCTGTGCTGATCACATGCACCCTCCCAAAAGCAAAATAAACAACTCTCTAGCCATACACACCAAACTGAGCATGTGCCTCTTAGAGCTCAAGACTATCAGTAGATGGATTGGGGACAGTAGAGGAAGAGGAGGATCACAGAAGACAGGATCAAACAGCCTTTTTACAAAATGCAGAGGATTACCCCCTTGGGTTCCACAGTTATAACAATCATGCTGTACTGCATATACAGACTGATTTTACTGTTGTGGGTTTAGTAATACTTTAAATTGATTTTTTTTTTCTTCTTGGGGTTGGGAGGTCTAGATAAGGTTGTTGAATGAGGCCTAAGAAAAAGTACTGCAACATCACTTCCATCTAGCATTGTCCTATATTGTGTTTACTGTGCTTTGCTACTGAGTGGCCCTGTGGAGTGCTCCATAGCAGGAGTAGAATACCAGGAACCGACTAATTCTGGGCTTAGTGCTGAGCCATGCCTGTGACTGACAGTTAAAGCCCGCTAGAGCTGCTGTCACTCAGTGTGCAGCCCACTGTACCCCAGACCTTATTTGAGGCCTGGAAGACAGTTGGGCATCAGGGATCTAAAAGGAGAATTACCTCTTAATTCCTGTTGTGTGTACAGTATAAGGCCCCATGTACACAGGACACTTCTGAACGATGGAAACTGACTGCTGGAAAACGTAGGTTAAAAAACATCTGTTTAGCCGCGTTTGCATAACGCATTTATGTGCGTTTGCGTTTAGAAGTGTTTTTTTTACAGATAAGCACAGGAGAACCTCCCAAATGCCCAGAATACGCTGAAAAGTGGTAAACTATTAACTATTTCAGACTGTTTCAAAGAAATACAGAGAGTAGAAGCAGAGACAGAAGTATGTATTGAGATTAGCTTAGGTGTGAGTTGCTCATTAACATTTCTTTTGTTTCCAAGGGTGGGAAAGGTGTCTGGTGGAGGGAGTCATTAAGGCCACCTGGCAGGGGGTCTTCATGAGGAATTTGAGATGTGAATGGTCATTAACATATCTTTTGTTTCCAAGGGTGGGAGAGGTCTGAGGTGTGAATTGGTCATTACAATGTGTGACAAGCTTGGTAGGAACATCCTGTGTTCAGTGTTTTGTCCATCGGAGTACCTTGAAAACGCTTTGCATGCATTTTTCATGATGAAAAAAGGCTCTGGACAGCATCGGGAACTGGAGGAGCTAAAACAAATTTTCAAACACTTATAAATGCGATTTGCCGTATTTACAAGCATTTTGCGCTTGAAACGCTGATAAAATCAACTGCTGAACGCAAGTTTTCTACATTCAAAAAAACAACTGTAAATCAAACTGCCTGTAAACGACTGTAAACGAAAATGTGTACATGGACACATAGGAAAACGTTAGGGAGAGTTCAGGGGCCGCTGAAAAAAAACGCTGAACAGCTCCTAAATGTGAGTTTATCAGCTGCAGTGTACATGAGCCCTAAGAAGTAAAGAGAAATCTCTGGAATGGGACACAGATGGGAAAAACATTGATGGGGGTTTTCCTTCTCTAAAGTGAAAATCATTCTGTGTGAACAATGCCACTGAATGATATGGATTGCAATTCATCCTATGGAAATAATACAGTGATTTGAAATGTTCATGCTTTACAGGACAAAGACTGGATAAAGATTGTACCGAGAGCAGTGAATCAGTTTGTGTGGACTGCAAAGATGGGGAGTATCAAGATAAGTGGAACCAAGAAACAGATTGCCTCCCACACCAATATTGTGGTGAAAGTAAGTGAACTGTCTCTATATTTTCTTGTTTTTAGGGTTATAATATTTGGATTACTCTTCATGCTTATAATTGCTGTAAAACATGGCAGATGTGGAACATAGGTGCCTAAACCATTAAACCATCTTTTTTTAAATCAATTTCAGCAGCTGATTTAGTCACTAAGTAAACAGCTTCTTGATCTAGTAGGATACATTCGCACAGGCGACTAGCGCCGAATTGAATGACAGCAGCAGGAATCTGTTGATTCCTGCAACTGTTTTGGCCACCTGTGAGCTTCTGGCTGCCCAGCCAGTGACTACCTGCAGTGATTGCTGCTGGACGCACACAAAGTACGCCACGGATCAGCTAATTGCTGGTGGCTGTCAACCTGTCATTGAAGTGTGTAGGGTTCAGTGGCCACAACTAGCCTCCAAAGGTGGCTGATGCAGCTGCAGGAATCAGTAGATTCCTGCTGCTGTCATTCGCATTAGTTAATCCTTGCCTATATTCCAGTGTAATCACTAGCCCTCCAAAGGATTTACCCCCCTTCCTGACCAGGCCATTGTTTGCAACTGACAATTGCGCGGTCATTCAACGCTGCTCCCAAATTAAATGTATGTCCTTTTTTTCCCACAAATAGAGCTTTCTTTCTGTGGTATTGGATCGCCTCTGCGGTTTTAATTTTTTGCACTATAAACAAATAAAGACCGAAAATTTTGCAAAAAAAAAAAAAGTTTAACTTTTTGCTATTAAAGTTATACTAAAGTTTTTTTTTTTTAAATAACAACCATGTTATACATACACAATAGGGTAGGTTGTGGGATTTTAAAGGTGCTCAACAATAATTAGAACATTTTTTCTTTAAAATCTTTTACAATGTATTAATGTCGGTAAAATTACATTTAATGTGAGAATGGTTACAACAGACTTAACAATCACAGCACACTTGACTGCAGTGTACAGATGATTCTTCCTGACATGTTTCGTCCAGCCTGGGCTTCTTCAGGGTTGAATATAGCTATCTGCAATACAGTCCTTTGGGACTATAATACCAATATCATTCTTTAAGATGGAAATAAAATTGTGTTCGATCAAAGACAAGCGTCCATGTGATTGCAGAAGGTACGCAATGGACCGAATTAAAATAGTGGGGAGATCAAGAGCAAACAGCAAATAGCCACAGCTGGGAATCAGAGGTCTCCCTTGTTAGTAAGGATTCCACACAAACAATGAATCCATGATCATATGATGATTGAGCACAGCCTCCATGTTCAACCATAGCCCATGTAGCTAATTATTGTTGTGCACCTTTAAAATCCCACACGCTACCCTATTTTGTATGTATTTATATAGGATGTGGTGCAATATGGTGATTATCAACCACTCGTCATATTTCCAAATTTCTAAACAATCATGTTATACTTACCAAAACCACTGCACAGATCAGCCTGGATCCTCCTCTTTTTGGGTCCCCTGCTGGCACTCCTGGCCCCTCCCTCCTATTGGGTGCCCCCACAGCAAGCAGCCTGCAATGGCAATTGCTGCTGCTTCTGCCTCAGCCAATCAGGAGTGAGAGTCCCCAAAGAATCAAAGCTCTCGTGGACATCACTGGATCGGGATGGTGATCAGGTAAGTGTTAGGGGGTTGGGGGCTAGGGGAGCTGCTACACATGGAAGCTTTTTTTTTTTACCTTCATGCATAGAATGTATGAAGGTAAAAAAAACCTTTAGAACCACTTTAATTGAACAAGCTGAAGTTAGACACTGGCTACCATGCACAGCTGCACCAGATTTTGCACTCTACAGTTTTAGTAAATCAATCCCACTGTGTGCATTGATAGAAACACAGCCCTGCAGCCAAGGATGGCAAGGCACTCCTCTGATCCTCCTTCCTTCTCAACATACCCTATCCAAACTAACAGTTAGACCCAAGACCACACTGTCCACTGTTAACTATTTCCTGTGATGACAGGAAGTTTAGGGAAGCAGCACCGAGAGAGCAGGAGCAGGGCAATGTTTGTGGGGAGTTTTTGGATACTTTAAGTATTAGTGATTTTGTTCCAAAAGTTTTAAATGCATTCAAAAAATTAAAAATAAGAGAAAGGATGTAATAATTACAAAACAAGAAGAAGGCCTAAAAACAATGGCTATCCTTTGTACATGCACTGACATTTATTAAAAGGTTAAAATGAGTGTGAATGGGTCCTCATAGATCCTCAGTGCACAAAAACGTATTGCACCTTATTTGGACAATGCAACTCATAACAGTACATTTCTGCTTTTAGAACCACTTTAAGATTGGGTTCACACTGTGCATTTCAGCTTATGTGGTACAGTCTATGAATAGACTTATAAAGGTTCCCTTTCCACTATTGTGCATTCATGTGAACCAGCCATGAAGGAAATCATATCATTGTTACATGCATGAGCTTTGCTACTTGAAAGTGGCTGTGTGAGTATGACCTTGGACACAAATGCACTGTTTAATTAATAATAAAACAATGATTTCTATGAAGGAAATGTTTTATTAGAAGCACATTTTTCATCTTTGAAAACGCACGCACGCTCAGGTTGACTGGTGTCTTTTATCAACCTTACCAACTATATATCTATATAATGTTTCTGTATACTGCAAAAGACTGTTTCTCATCACTACAAAACTCTCATTTAGATATATTCCCTAACAGAGGCGCTCCTAGGGTTGGTGTCACCCGGTGCGGTAACACGTGGTGTCACCCCTCCAGAGGGGAAGGTGCTGGAGTAGTGGTAAAATGAACCCGTAACCCCATATAGGTTGAACCTACTGATCTTGCAACCCATAGTGATCTGTGGGATCAGCTTTAGCGGTTTGCAGCCTGTAAGGGGTTAACTGTGGCAGCTCTGTGCTAAAGTCGGAGATCGGCGATCAGCTTCTTCAGCCTGAAACCGGCACATGTGCAGTTGCTTCAGGGGATACATATCTTCACGGGATACTCGTTTTACCGATACACCGGGGGCAGCTGTTACTGTCCCAGGAATCCGGGATCACCCCAATATCTGGCCAGGACCTTCACAGAGCCCAGAAGCTCTGCTGGCATCCTGCACCCCCTGTGATGGTGTCACCCAGTGTGGCCCGCACCCCCCTAGGGATGCCACTGTTCCCTAATAGCCACAAAAGATATAAATCCATCTTGTGAGCACCAAATGCCTTTGCAAGCCCAAATATTACCTTGAAAAAGTAGCAGTGATATCATCACTGTGCTGTACTTATCCTTTGAAGAGTGCAGAGCTATGAGAGGGGCTCAACAGTCCCACCCACACTACAGGCTGCCTGCAGAGAACTACAGAAGGAGGCGGAGACAAGACCAGTCACACTACACAAGGAGAGGGAGCAGCAGTGACTGGTCTTTATTGCAGGAAGTTCCCACACAGAGGTAAGGTTTCAACCTGAATTACTGCACAGATCTGGAAGAAATACACAAACTATGCCGAGATACAAGTAGGAATACACATGACTTTTATATTTAGGCAATATTTGCTTGTTTTGGAATTCAGCTTTAAACAATTATAAGTCAACGTTCGGTGACCCCAAGAAAAGGCACTTCTCCAAACTCCATTAATCTTCCTCCATCTTGGCATGCAGATAAGAGGGAGAACAACACCAACAGCTACCTCCAGTATCAGTGGATAGCTGATACTGAGACTGGCTGACTCATTTCTGGGGCCCCACAACCTTTCATTAGAACCTACCTGGTGTCTTGTATGTGCCGCTTTAAATATTGTTCCATGTGTGGCTATATTCCATAAAAAAAAACAATTCTGCTACTGGGTAATGTGTATAGCTGCTATGGTGACCTGCACTGTAGCAATCATGCACACAGAGATGGATGGGAACCTCCATTTTGGCAAAGGATCATCCATCTTGTATAAGTATCTCTCTCTCCCTCTTTCCTCATTCCCCTCCCTCTCTGTTGAGTGACATGTGGTCGTGTGTGTTTGCAGAGATCACAGGTAACAAACTCAGTGGGAGGGCGTCCTGGCTATAAAACCTCACTAGCTCGGTGCCCCTTTGTCTAAGAAACTCTTGCTTGGAAAGGGATCATAAAAGCATAAACCGAGTCCCTCACGGAGTTCAAAGACATTCCAGATAAGTCATAAACTAGACACCACATTCAACATCCATTTTCCCCTATGATTCCATATCTTGGATTATGGAAGACTTACATAAACATGGAGCACATATTCGGACGGCTGACGTTAATACAAATTCCCTGGTATATTACACCCCCTATCTGACATATACCAGAGAGCAGAAAATGATATCTCCTAAACCATTCAAACAAATATTTCATATTTCATATCTAACTGTTCAGCAGGTGATTCTGCATAATAATCTACTCGTGGATAGGATGTTGTATGTATCCAGGGTAAATTATGAACCATAATATAAGCTATGAGAGTTTTTGGTCAGAGCTTGGGTCTCCACCTACCAACTCCCTCCCCAAATGAGGCGATTGGTTTACTGCTCCAGGGAGACACCCTGTGGGATTACTAGAAAAGCTAAGCTAGGCCGAGTTGAGCCGTGTGTGAGAGTTGAAGAATCTCCTGTTTAACATCGAAACTGACAGTGGGAGATAAATCCTTTGCTCTGAAACCTGATCTGCTTAACCCAGGACATGTTGCAAGTACTTAAACCCTCTAACTTCTCTCTGTTATCTCTTTGCTGTGCTATTGTTCTCTGTATATTTATAAATATATATTGGCTACATCTTTTTCTGTAAATATTTTTATTGCATCCTTTTGACCTTTTGGTAATAAATCTTACTTTCTGAAAGTGTTGAACTGTTTCGAACGCCTTTAATGCAAACTAAGAATTCCTGCCTCTAAAGAGCGCTACTGTGAGTGTGTTTAACCCTCTGTATAACCTGCCTGCGGTGACAGTGGTATACAGACGATTGTTCAAGCATCCTAGTGTTATTGCTGATATTGTCGAGATTCCTCTTTCTCTGTACAAAAAGGAGGTGGTGGCAGTGTGAAGGGTT